ACCGCTCAAGTATTGTGTAACCAATATGAGCAAATAGGAAACGATCATTTTATAACTATACCAATAGTCTTGATTTATCAATAATGCGCATATTGAATGTTACACAAGAGCAATGTCAGAACCAGCGACTGAGTTTCAAAAACCGGACTTTCGAATTTTGAGATTTGCATTATGGATTATCGAGTTTGACACCTGATAACTGTGCTCGAAACCATCTGTAGGAGCTCAAGATTGGACAAAAGTTGATAGTTTTCATCACCAATCGACCGAAATCTGGGTTCGATAGCGACTTCTCAACCCTCTTCGACATCCAGCTCTCGATAAAAGTCCTCAGTATATTTAAGAGTTATCAAAAACTTGACCTCATAATACGTTCTTAAGGCTTCGATTATTCATAGATTGATAAGACTATTTCTGCCTTTGTGACAAAATATCTCTTTCAACGAACCTTCTTTTTATAATGTCTTAATATATGAGTAAATGAGAAAAGCATACCTGGAATAGTTTCAACTAGTGATCTAACCTTATGATCAACAATATTAAACTAGGAAAAACAAAGATTCACCTTATATTTATAGAAGAATAAAGATTTCAACATGAAGAATCATATCAAATTATTATAAGTTTTAGAATTTGACTTCTACCGTCTAAGAATCGTTTAAGAATAATTTGATGTTTAGTTCATAATCTATCATACTATCCAGGTATAGAAAAATATTGAATGTTGCATAAAAGATTCCATGACGCTTTCAACGTCACTATTGCAATATTCTTGAAAGAGACTTCCGATTTTATTGAAAACTCAAATTATAATAAGAATTTCATAAACTCTATTGTATAATAATTGCCATATTGAGAATATGGCGATGTAATTTGGGTGTGGGTGGATATGAGTGAATATATTTAGTTATTAAATTATTTTTTTTATGAAATATTCATTTCTTATATAATATGAGATGAATCACTTAATAAAATCTTTTCTGAATTCAATTTCAATATGGGAAATCGATAGAAATACATAGGAAATAGACAATCTTTCTCATGAAAAAAAAATGATGTGTATTTCAAATTCTTTCCACTATAATTTACGCTTATATAAAGCTAAAAGACAAATTAATAATTGTAAATAAATTTAAAACGTCAAAGATCAAATTCATATATTCTATAATGACATAGTCTAGTTGAACAAACTAAACGATTTATATAATGAATATCTGAACATCAATAAATTATGCTTTGATTTTCTTATGCTTTTATCAAAATTATTCTGAATTTACAATCACACAACACTTTTTCGTCAGAAATCATCGGTATTGTAACCTTTAATCCTCTGGGTACCGCCGACCTATATCTAAGTTAGGAGCCTAATCTCTGTGAAAAGCAATCTTTTCTAATATATATTTTTTAGACATATTTGTGTAAAAAGAAGCATTAGGCAGGTAGATGATGGTTAAAGTGCCATTTTATTAACACACACTCTAGGATCGTTCTATAAGAAATGCAGAAATTTGCTACAAAATTGGGCCTTCTTTCTCTTATGCCGGTAGGTAAAGAGTTAAAAATAATTAAAAAAACCTGTGAGTATGGGTCTATATCAAGGTAGTTTTTTCATCCACACCTACACACCCACACCCTCCTATGAATAACTACTAAAAAAAAATATAAATTTCAGAAAGGAGTACTCTTTCTCTTAAAATGATATCATTGTTGACAACTAATATTTGAGTGCTAGATCCGATTTTGAATCTATTAGAACCACTTAACTGGTAAAAATTGAACACTGTACGAAGTCCTTATTTTCAAGTAATAAGATTGATATTAGTGACAACTTGTTTTTACATACTTGTAGGTTTTAAAGTTTGTGTTTTCTCTGATGTTTTACATTCTTTGAATAACAAAAGTAGGAAATAACTAAGAAATTTAACTAATTGAGAATTATTCAATTGAGTTGATCTGACTGGTTCAAAATATCTTTCAGAAAGGTGAAAAATGCGAAAAATAATAAATTAGTTAGATCATTATTAAGTGATGAATGAAAATGACTTCAAAAGAAATTCATGTTCATTTTTTCTCAATCAGCTTTGAGAAATCATCAAGAGGAAACATCATCTTCTAATCACTTATCTCTATTTGCTTTCTCAAAGATGAATATGTAGTAAATCTATGAATTGCCCGAAAAATAACATAAAAAGATTTTATTTATTCATTAGTTGATTAGACAAATTTAACATTTGTCCTTGAACAACGATCCAAAACTAGTTTTGATTTTCAAAGAAAATACCTATGAGATAAGTCTAACAGCAAGGAATACGATTTTGATTCTACTGTTACTTCGGACGAATAAAAAAATTTAAAATAAATGGTTTTTTAAAACAACATTCTTTTACTATTTTTTAAAAAGTGCACAAAAATTTACACTCAACGCGTTTTATCAGATAAAAAAGGTAGAACTATCAAAATATATTCTGACCAATAAAAAAGAACTAATGCAGAAGAGTCTGTTCAATCACAAAGATTTCAAGACAAATCAATTTAATCTCTCCGATTTATTGAAATCTCTAATTACGTCGAAATTAGCACTATCAACGATTTTCTAAGGTAATTGCTTTTCCATCATTCATGAGTTCAATACAATAATTTTTTCCAATGCTTGTAAGAGTCAAAATGTTTCATATAGTGAACAGCTTTACAAGTTTTTCTCTTCTAATTTTTACTTAGAGCTTTTCCTAAAAAGAATTGAATCTCTTCATTTTGCTTTTAAAACTGATTAATGATCAAATTGAATACAGAAAAATACCATATAAAAAATCGATCTTCAAGAAACCTATATTCTACCGCCTTCTTTTCTCAAATTTAACCACTGCATCATATCTTTTGGTCCACATAATGGAAATCAAAACAAGAAAGGTGTGGAATTATTGATTTGAATAACATTAAAATTTTACGACTTAGATTATATACATATACAATGTTTCTGTAAATATGCAATTCAAACTATGTATATTTGTCCTATCTATGGGTGAGAAAGTTAGGTTTTCAGCATTTTGTCTTTGAAGACAGTAGATCTTGATATTTTTGCAGATACTTATAGATCGTAGTTTACATTACTATAGACAAATAGTCAACTAACTAATGATGGAAAAGTTCCTGATAGAGTGTCGGTTCATTTTCAATAAATGGAATATTCTTTCCAATTTTGTGTTCAAATATGTTCTATCAGGCCGTACCTGTCAGTAAAATTCATGTCCTCAGAAAGCACTAAAATATGTTTTGTAACAGAAGTAACTTCGAGCTAACATGGAGAAAATTCAAGCCTAGATATCAAACCACTTTAGGTTAATGTTCCTATTGTTACTCAGTGTTCGAGTTTAAGGCTTTTCCAGGTATTACTTCCGACGTATTCACAGAACCAATATCTCAGGTCTTTCATAAACATCATTTCATGTAATTTTATTAAAAGCTGGGTCATTCAGATCTCGAAAACTTTTATCGGCTCATTATGATTTTTAGTTTGGACTCTATATATTAAGCTATTATTTTTCAACTTTTCTATTAAGTCATTCGAAGCGACATCGTAGGGTTTTCTACTATGGTTGTAGAGAATTTAAGGGTGGGTCTAACCCGAAAAAAAAACAGCAACATTAAACGGATTGCAGTGAACAACATAACGAAATTCTAAGTTTTTTCCGCGCCTATTACTTTGTTCTGTTTTAACAGATCAAATTTTAGTGGTGTTTAAGATTATGCTCATCAGAGAGTGAAAACGAACCGAATCCAAGCTGAATCAAACTCGATTCAGCAAAAGCCGGTTCGATTCGTTCTCTGATGCTCACTATTGCAAGTCAATACCTTCTAGAACACTTTTCAACATCTACATAACAGAACTTTCAATATAATGGGTGGCTCTCAAAGAATCACCCTCTGAGTAGGTTTCAAAAATTTCTTTCGATCACGGATCGTTTCACAAGCACTTTTTCAAAAGATAACTTGTAAAATTCTCTACAAAATTTGATAGAAGAATCTCTTCAAAAGTATAACTGGAAAACTAGATCTCATCTTTCGTACTATATTCCAAAAAGCCTAGCTCTCAAAGTGCCTTTTTTTAAAATTTATTATTTCTCCTCTGACTAAACAGATTTCAGATTATTGTAAACCAGCCTTCCTATGGGTTTAAGTGAACTGTTCCTAATAGAGTTCAGAAAAATAGTATCCAAGTCATTTTGTGACTTCTCCTATGGTCAGTCGTTTCGGAAATACAGATTGAAGCCGTTGATGTTGATTGCTCTTCTTACTTGCACTACTCATCGTAGAAAAAAGCTTTTGCAAAAGTTCTCTCTGGTCTATATTGTACAAAAAAAGAATATTTTTCTGCAAGATAGTAATAAATTTGAAGCCGTATTAATGAAAAATTCGGTTGAAGTAAATAAAAGTTTTAGGAAACCCGTATTGAGAATCCTTAAAACGTGAATAAAGAAGGACGTACAAGATGTTTTACTTGGGAAGGTGCATAGTATGGCAAAAAAATACTCGCTCACTCGATAGAAATTTTCGTGGGTAATAAAATTGAATATTTAAAATTTTTTTGTTCATAAACAAACAGCAATGCAAAATTGAAACAGCAAGAATGAAAGCTTGAAAATGAGTCTGATGAGAGTTTAGTATTACGAATCTGATATAGTTTTACATTTATCCGATTGAAGAGATACTATTATGTGGTTTTGTAGAGAATTTTACGGACTATGTTTTGAAAAAAATGTAGGCCAAATCATCAACAAGTGAAAGAGATATGTGGAAAATACTTATAGGGTGATTCTTTTAATGGGTGGTGATCCGCTCGATTCTTTACATATGCTTTCAAGGTTGTTCACGCATGTTTTAATTGATAAAATATGAACTAACATTTGTGCACTAAATTTTGTGTCACTCGGTTATCTATTATTTCTTAATTATGACAATATATATGTATATATGGAACTTTAACGTATTTATATGATGAGATTTTACTTTTGCCAATTACTGTAATCTTTATGTGACATATGCAATGAGAATAGAATTTTATGAAATGGTATTCTCATATTATAAAAGTGATTAGAACAACATTTTTCTTGCTTACGTGAAAATCGTTGTTGTAGTAGCAAGTGGATCAAATGTTTCTTTGTCTCGCAATTGATTTCAACGCTTTTAACCCGAAAACAAACACCTGGTGTAATAAGTTCTTCTTCTTCTTCGGAATACTCGGATAATGGACTAAGATCGGCAATAAAGGCATACATTACTTCCATGATGAATAATGTATTTCCGAATTCTTCTGCTTTTTTACGATTACGACTACAAGATGTATACGCTTGAAATGATCCAAATGCTCTGTCATCTTTGGCCATTTCTTCATAAACAGCGATCTGTTCCTTCGTCAATTCGGCTCCTCGATAAAGTGTCTTTTTGACGGTCACTTTTTGATTAAATGGATCATCCCAGAGTAATAAACAAAATGGACCTAATGTACGGACTTTACTTCGCCATACTTGTTCATGTTCTTTGTCTCCTACTAATCTCATCGCTGCATTCAATGTTTTGTACAGGAAACTTTCCAATGTGTAAAGATAAGCACAACGTTTCCATACTTCCTCCATTCC